GCAGAGGATGGCAAATTCTGATCCACATGTCCTGCTTGATACTAGAGGAAAAAATCAAGCTTAAAGGAACCGACGCAGTGGATCTGTTTTCCGAGATGCCAATAAGCAGAGAAACGCAATCTGGAGGGACAGAATGTCTAAGGTGTTTTGTATTTTTAAAACATTCTTTGGCAACAATCTTGAACTTCTTCTGGAGAAATTAATTTTGTTCTTTAAGAGATCTATCTGGTTTCTCAGACCTTCCACCTCTCAAGGGCAAGGGTGCTGGCTCCATTAATCCTTTCTGTTTCTTCCCAGGGGCAGAGGGACCATTTTAACTTACTAGCTGTGTCGCCTTAGGCAAATTCCTTCACCACCCTGTGCCTCACATGCCCCAGCTGTACAAATGAGGAGAGTAACACCTGTCTCCTGGGGTCGCAGTAAGCATTAAATGAGATCATCTATGTAGTAAGCTGTTTAACACAACGCCGGACATATATTAATTGCTGTATGTAAGCTTTAGCCATCGCTTCCATTTACATTTTCCCCCTAATATCTATTTTCCTTACTTTCTGAATCAAAACCAGAATATACAGTCATGGAGACAGCGATGAAAAATGTTTGCAATCATGCCTCTCATATTTTGCAGACCATGCACTTACTCTCACGATAATAAACAGAACAGAGAGATGCTTCTCCAGTTAGGTGACTCTGGTCTCCTGTTGTCACATCCCACTAAGGGTTTCAGAGGAACCCACAGGCTCGGGTTTCATCGTGGTTCCTCTGTGGTTGCGTTTTCCCGCCATGCTTGTTTCGTGGGCCCCTTTAGAAGTTCCAGGGGGCTTGAGTTGTCCTCTCTGGAAGAGGTTCACAGGTGCTCCTTTCTTCAAGAACAAGGTGCTGTCTTGCCCCCTCCTGTCTGAGCTGAGGCCCGTGTCCTCACGCTCTCGTTTACCCTGCATGAAAGGGTCGTGATGACCCACGTCGCTGCATTTCCATGGGCAGCTACATATGTCAAAACTCCAACAAGCCCCTGCGTCCACCAAAGTGATCCCAGACCTGAGTACCGTCTCACCCTGGATCCCGGCTCTGAGCTGCTCTTTCTTTAGACTTGCTGTTCCTCAGCATCCTTAGATTTCTGCATCCCTTCTCAGTCACTCAGCTCGACCAATTTAGCACCATTAGTCACTCCTCCAAAGGAAGCAAAACTCCTCTCCTTTGATCATCTAAGTTGCTTTCCTCTGTTCCCATTCTAATTTATTTCTCTATTCCTGGAACTGAGGTAGCCATCCCTTAACATGGAATGACTTATAATTTGTTACTGAAATGATTCTGCCTAAGGATTAAAAATGAATTTTACTAAGTCATTTTTTTTTCCCAAGTGGAAATGCTCAGTCCTTTTGGTGGAAAAAAATTCATTTAGTGCTGTCTGACTCAGTCTGGCTAAAGCCGTAAGACAGCAACAACTTGCCAGTGAAGAAATTATCTCTAGGGCTAATAGCTCTGGTATCTTCACACATACATTCATTCATTCATTCATTCATTCAGTGTTTAATGAGCATCTTCTGTGTGCAAACTATCAGGCACTGGGAATACCAGAATGAATAAAACATGCCTTCTCCCCTCCAAAAGCAGGGAAGACAGAAAGCTGAATGATAGAAAATTAACCACAAGGAGAAGTGAGCTTTTGTGGAATGAGTCAGGTCAGAAGGAGACTGAAGGAGTAATTCCCAGCCCTGGCACCTGGTTGGGGGTGAGGGAGCAGAGATGCAGGTGAGGGGATGCAGGGCGGGGCCCCACTGTCTCATCACTGCAGCTGAAACAGCCGCCAGAGGCCCCGGCCTCCACTATAACCTCTGTGATATTTTCAACTTAGTTGTTGGATATAAATCATTCCTCTGTGTGGGGTGTAGAAGCTTCAGGGATACCGGAAAAGGACAAATGGATAACTAAATAAAGAGAAACAGCCTCAAACTGCTGGCAAGGAATGGAGAGAGAGAGACACATCAAGAGAAGACAGCCAAACTGCGGCTGTTCCACGGGACACAGCATCAGGCATCCGGAAAGAGCAGGAGACCTTCCATACCTCTCCTCACACACACAGCACACACATCTTCGTTTGCACACTTACCCAGACCCAGCGTTAGGCTTCCTGGAAGTTATGGGGGTGTTAGAGATGATTGTCAATGGGTTGGGATAAATGTTCTGCCTGTGTCCGAGCAGAGCCGGCCTCAAGTCCACCCAGGCAGCCAGGAGCCTTAACAGAAGGCCATTGGATCTGGCCAAGTGGTGGTCAGAAGAGCCAGGGCTGACACTGGTTTCTGCTCCCAACCAGCTGTGTCACCTTGGGGAAGGGCGTTCACCTCTCTGCAGTATAGCTGATTTGCAATGTTGTGCTAATTTCTGGTGTACAAGCATAGTGATTCATATATATATATATATATATGTATATATTTTCTTTTCACTATAGGCCATCACAAGATATTGGATATAGTTCCCTGTGCTATACAGTAGGGCCTTGTTGTTTATCTATTTTATATACAGTAGTTTGTATCTGCTATCCCAAACTCCTAATTTATCCCTCTCCCACCCCCTTTCCCCTTTGGTAACCATAAGTTTGTTTTTTAAGGCACACATTTTTAACAATTGATAAATTATTCACAACTCTAAAAAGAACTCCATCTTTTTCTGGCTCTTTAAGACCGTTTCCTTCTTACTTGCCGCCTCTTCTGTACCAGGCTCTGTGACATCCCTTCTGAGGTCTAGTTCCCACTGTATCCACTCCTCCCGCCTCTGTCAGTCCCAGGTCACCCCCGTCCCCCACAGTGCCCTCCAGACCTTATCTTGTCTTTGCATCAGGCTTTGTGGCCATTAAGAGTAAATAAATTTTCACTCTGGCTCTGGATAGAAAAACGATTTGAATTTACTGGATTACAGGCTCCAAGTGAGTGGACCAGAGGCTAGCTGGGATCTGAAAGTCTGTCTTAGCCTGAGCCTCCTCTATGAAGAGTGAGGTAGGAAGAACCCTGGCCCTGTTTTCAGCAGGTCATTCCCGCTCCCCCATCCCTGGGCCTTGATTTCCCCTCCTGTAAAAGGCAAGTCGGCCAGTGACTCCTAGGCTCTCTAGCCAAGACGTTAATGATTCTATGTAGAGCTCTGTTTGCTGACATTTGAAACAGCCATACAAGGTGTTCAGCTGTGGCTTTGTTCATACCTCGTTAACATCTGTGCTTGGGAATCAAACCAGCAGCTCCAAGGACTGCGGCTCTCATCGGTCCTTTTTAGGGTTGTGCTCACCCGCTGTCCTGAGTTCCTAGGGGAACTGGGTCACAAGGCTTGACCTGAGCAGACCTGACTTACTTTATACACTCGACAACCTTTGCACATATCACACATGTGGCTCTCTTTGCATGGAAGCACATAAGCTCAGAATTCCTGTAAATGGACTAGACTTTCAAGGAAGCCACACTTCACAAGCAACTCCCTTATTATTCTGTTGCTTTTGTCATCACCACCTTAGTAGTGCTTCTCATAATGGCTCTTCGATGGTGAAACCCATGGCCATTTTAAATGGCCCTAGAAGCAGAGTGACTGGATGGCGATTACAAAGAACCCCCCCAATGCCCTTGCTCTTAAAAGTGCTGTAATTTAAGGCCACACATGGGGCAGCCAGGAATTCTCTTGCAGGGAGTACTCATTAATCAAATCAGCCTCATCCCAACCTGAAGACCCAGTAGGATGACCAGCTTTTCCTGAACTGCCTGGGAATCTCCTGGTTTTAGCATCACAAGTTCCCAGGAACCCGAGTCTGGGTGATCCAGGACAGTGGGTTGGCGTCACACCAAGGAGCCTGAAATCTCAGTATATGTGAGAATTAACGTGTGTGCTTATTAAAACTGCAGATTTCTGGGGTGGGAGATGCTGATCCAAATGTTTTCCTGACCACAGTAAGAAATACTGGTAAGAACTCATTATTAACTTATCACCCCTGGCGTTTGGCATTTGGCTACCAGTGGTTCTTGAGCTCATCTGCACATCACAATCACCTGGGGAGATTTTAAAAAATACCGTTGCATGATTTGACCCAAACCAAGTAAATGAGAATCTTCTGGGGTGCGATCAGCCCCCTCTCCCTCCAGGAGAACCAACAGAGAAGGCAAACACAATGGCCATTATTCATCTTGGACCTATGGTGCCTAACACCTCTGCTGTCACCTGGTTTGGGCCCCCAACTTTAAACCACGTCCCCTCCTGCTGTAATATAGGAAAAACACTTTGGAGGGCAAGGTGGCACCATCTGCTGAAACTGTGGATAGTATCACCTCTAGGTATAAAACATAAAGAAACTTTTGGACAAGTACATAGGAGCTGGGCATGAGAATGTTAACTGCGGCTCTGCCCATAATGACAGGAAATGGGAAGCCATCTAAATGTCCATCAGTGGGAGGGTGGTGAGCACAGAGTGGTGCTGGACTCACCCCGTGGAATACCACGCTGCAGTGAACACGACAGCATCCAAGCTACACTGACCAACGCTGGAACAAAATGACCATAGCTTTTTCTAAAGTTAGAGCCTGTTGTGATTGGCTTCTTGGGGCCTGAGAGGCCAAGGTGAAGCCTCTCAGGCCCTCTGTAGCAGAGGGTTCCTGGGCACACCCATGGCAGCAGAAAGCAAGCTTGCATGGCATAGGTGCCATGTGCCAGCTTGTTCTGAGGAAAAGATGTCCCTATGGTCTGGAGAGAAGAATCAGGTAGCACTTGGCAATCCTAAAATACCTGCCTAGCAATCTGGAAGTTGCATGGACTGGCGTGTGAGTGCCGGTTCCTGGGCTGCTTTCGAACAGGAACAAAGTCTGACACTGCATTTTCCCTCGGCATCCCCCTTGCTGTCCACATAGAGCGATAAATCCATTAGAAACGCAGATGTTACCGTGAACCCAGGATTTCAGGGCTGTTAATCCTGTTTGGCTTTTCTGGGTTGCTGACAAATGCGTATGCTGCAGGAGGGCCGCCGGGCTTACCTGGTCCTAGTTTGGCCACAGCATAGAGGAGGTCGTAGTTGAGGACCGGCGTGGCATCGCTGATGGGCTGCCAGCCGACGGGAGGAGAGGCGGGGGGCGAGATGAGGAACTGTTTGGCGGGCTGCGGTGGAGCCAGGTGCAGTTTGTCTCCGTCTGTCTCTGGAGTCTGAACCTTTCAAACAGAGGAGGAATGAAGACACATTATTCATTCTGGCCTCGGAGGGGCCATGTTGTTTCACTAAGATGCAGAGTCTCGCCGCTTTTAGCCTGTGACGGATGAACCAAGGGGCCAGGCTGCAATTATAATTACTATGACCACACCCCATGTGCTCAGTTATCTTCTTTGGGCCTTAAAACAGTGGTTCTCAACCTTGAGCTGCACAAGAATTACCTGGGAAGCTTACTAAGGCAGACTGCTGGGCCCCACTCCTGGAGTTCTCGGTCAGTCAGTCGATGGGGGGCAGGGCCTGAGGATCTGCATTGCTAACGAGTCCCCAGGTGATGGTGATGTTGCTGGTCCCCACAGCTTCCCCTCCTCCCCCTCCCCTCCCTTCCCCCTCCCTTCCCACCATGAGTTTTTCCTTCCTTCCTTCCTATCTTTCTCCCTTCTCTCTCTCTTTCTTTCTAATTGAGGTGATAGTCACACAACATGAAATTAGGCCATTAAAAAATTTTTTTTATGGTTCCATTTTTTTTTATTATAGTCAGTTTACAATGTTGTGTCCATTTCTGGTGTGCAGCATAATAGTTCAGTCAAACATATACATACATATATTCATTTTCATATTCTTTTTCATTATAGGTTACTATAAGATACGGAATATAGTTCCCTGTGCTATACAGTAGAAACCTGTTGTTTAGACCATTTTAAAGGGAACAATTTCAGTGGCGTTTAATCCATTCCCAATGTTGCACAATCACCACTTCTATTTAGTTTTTATTATTATGGTATTTTTTATCATCAAAGGAAACCCTGTACCCATTAAACAGTTACTACCATTTCTGCCTCTCGTCAGACCACGGCAACCACTCACCTGCTTTCTGTTTTCTATGGATTTACCTCTTCTGGACATTTCATAAACATGGACTCATAAAACAGGTAATACGTTGTATCTAGCGTCTTTCACTTAGCATAATGTTTTCAAGATTCCTCCATGGTGCAGCATGTCTCAGTACTTCACTCCTTTTTGTGGCTGAGTAACATTCCACTGAATGGACAGACCACCATTTATATATATCTGTTCACCCAGTTTTGGACATTTGGGTTGTTTCTACCCTTTGGCTATTGTGAGCAGTGCTGTTGTGAACATGTGTATACAAACATGTATTTGTTTGAGACCTGTTCTCACTTCTTTCAGGTACGCACCCAGGAGAGGAGTCACTGGGTTGGATGGTAAGTTAATGTTTTGCATTTTTAAAGAACCAAGTAGGGTTTTAACAGATGAGAAAACTGAGGTTTCTACAAGTCACACAAGTTATTAGCCGTGGTGGGTTTGAGCGTGAGTCTGAGGCTAATGTCTAAGTTTTTTCTCTTTCTTGATTTTTATTTTATTTTATTGTGGTAAGATCATCTAATATGAGCTCTACCCTCTTAACACGTTTTAAAGTGTGTGACACATTGTTATTGACTATTTTTTGTACAGTGTTGTACAGTAGATCTCTCTTCATCTTGCTTGACTGGAACTTTATGAATGTTGACTAGTAACTCCTCATTTCCCCCGACACACACACTTAGACCCTGGTAACTACTATTCCAGTCTTTGATTCTATGAATTTGACTATATTAGATACCCCATGTAAGTGGAACCACACAGTATTTGTTTTTCTGTGAGTGGCTTATTTCACTTAGCATAATGTCCTCAAAGTCCATCCACTCTGTCCTGTATTCCAGAATGCTCACACTACCCAAAGTGATCTGCAGAGTCAATGCAATCCCTATCAAAATCCCAAGGGCATTTTTATACAGAAATAGAAAAAAACAATTCTGAAATTCCTATGGAACCACAAAAGACCAGAAACACTCTAATCATTCTTGGGAAAGAAGAACATCACACTTTCTAATCTTAAAATATATTTCAAAGCTATCTAATCAAAGCAATATGATATTGGCATATTGACTAATGGAAGAGAAAAGAGAACTCAGAAATAAATCCATGCGTATAGGGTCAACCGGTCTTCAGCAGGGGTCCCAAGGATTCACAGTGGGGAAAGGAGAGTGTCTTCAACAAATGGTGCTGGGGAAACTGGGCATCCACATGCAGGAGAACTGGACCCTTATCTTAAACCACACCAAAATCAACTCAAAGTGGATGAAAGAGTTAACCACAAGACCTGAAACTGTAAAACTCCTAAAAGAAAATATAAGGTAAAAGCTTTATGACATCGGTCTTGGCAAAGACTCCATGGATATGACGCCAAAAGCACAGACAATGAAAACACAATTAAACAAGTGGAACTCCATCCAACTAAAAAGCTTCTGCACAGCCACGGAAATAAGCAACAAAGTGAAAAGCCGACTAGGGAACGGGAGAATATATTTGCAAACTGTGTATCTGATGAACGGGTTAATCTCCAAGATATATAAGGAGCGCCTATAACTCAGTAGTAAAACAACAGCAAACCCCAATAACCTGATTAAAAAATGGATTAAGGCCTTGAATAGACATGTCTATGGAGAAGACATACAAATGGCCAACAGGTATATGGAAAAATGCTCAACATCACTAATCATCAGGGAACTGCAAGTCAGAATCACAACGAGATAGCACCTCACACTTGTCAGAATAGCTGTGATCGTAAAAACAAAAGACAACAAATGCTGGTGTGGGGATGAAGGAATTGGAACCCTTGCACACTGTTGGTGGGAATGAAACTGAGCAACTACTGTGGAAAACACAGGGGGTTTTCCATATGGAAAATATGGGAAGGGCGGTTCCTCAAAAAATTAAAAATAGAACTATCATATGATCTAACAATTCCATTCCTGGGTACTTATCCAAAAGAACTGAAATCAGGATGTTGAAGTGATATTAACATTCCTACATTCATTGTAGCACTCTTTGCAAATAGTCAAGATGTGGAAACAACCTAAACATCCATCGACAGGTGAATGGATAAAGAAAATGTGATATATATGTACAATGGAATGCTACTGAGCCTTAAGAAGAAGCCAAGTCTATGTTCACGTCACTGTGTCATCTCTGTAGACTCCAAAGGTGGAAATGATGCTTACAGACCAATAATAGATGGATTGAGGTATCTAATAATGAAGGGAGGACACTGATGAAACAGTATGGACACTGATTTTCTGCTGCGGTGGACTTCATGAACACTGCCAAGAATTACCCACGCCCTTTTTGCAATAGCCAGACTTTATTTTCGATAAAATAAAACACAAATTTGACTTCTATAGGTTTGTAACTTTTTCCCATGGATAGGGATCACTGAAAAGGCATACAGTCCACCAAAACTGTCATATAATTTAAGCTTTAATTATAACCCTGTGGTAAGTAAGGAGTAGCTGTGATCAGAGCATTATTACAAGTACTAGCTGGCATTTATTGTGCATTTACCAAATGCTGAGCACGTTGACAAACAATAATTCATTTAATCCTCATAATGTCAGCATAGTCTGTCATTTTACAGATGGGGAAACTGAGGCCCAGTGAGGTTATGTCGCTTGTCTAGATTAGAGCCAAGGATGCCAACCCGCAGAGACTGCTTTCTAAACCACTATGCGGTCCTGTCTGGGAATTGACATAGGTTTATTCCTCAATGAACAAATTATAAACAGCAAACCAAACTGAAAAGTAGGAAGGGCTCCATTTACATTTTTAAAAGGGAAACAAACACAGTAGGGCAAAAGGATTAACTCTGGTAAAGGATCTCACCTGTGCAAAGTAGAGTTTTAATTTTTTCCCTCTGAACTGGGTTTCATGAAGCTCTATCCTGGCTCGGGCTGCAGATTTGGGATTGCTGAAGTTTATTCGGACACGTCTGAAACTCTTAAATAGCTGGAACGTCACACAGTCATCATAAGTCCGGAACAGACCCTCAAATTTTTCCTGATAAAAACAAACACAGAGGAAAATCCATTGGTCACACATCTGGTCCGATGTCAGATCTGACAAAAACAAATAACTAAGTACATAAATAGGTTCCTTCTTACATAAAATTAAAACAGAACTTTGTAATGTATTTTTTCCACCTGGTCTGTTGCCAGGTGCTAAACCTGCCTGTGGATTCAGTCTAAGGATTCATAACCTGGGTCCAGGGATCTGCAGACGACCAGTGAATGGGGTTTAAAATGCATGAAAAGCCTGTCAATTATGCAAAATGTTGAGTGTTTCCACACAGATGTGTTTTCCCTGGGACAGGGACCATACCTGTCATAAGATTCGCAAAGGAGTCCATTAGCTCCAAAATATCAGAGCTGTTGGGTAGAACACGTGGCAGACATGGTTAGTGGTTATCAAGCTTGGGGGCACGTTTCTTGCCTGAAGATATGGGAGCCCACACTACCCAAGACCCCTGTAGTCGGGCAGTGCCGTGTGATTCGTTCTGGCCCATGAAATGGGCATAGAAGGCAGGAAAAAAGCCCTCAAGAAATTTTCAGTCTCTTTCCCTGAAGATGTCACGCGCTCCAGAAGGTGGCGCAGTCAGAAGTAGGACTTTTCTCAGCCTGGGTCCCTGAGTGGCTCCGTGTGACCACATCTGAGAGAATGGACACCAGGATGCGGGGTTACAGAATCACTGCCCTCCAAGGCTGCCCAGGAAGAGGGGCTCAGATGTCCAGGAAAGTCTTCCTGCCTCTCGGGCATCCAAGTGAACTTGTCTCAGACCCTCTGGTCCATGCTTGTGATCCTTCCCAAGGCTGCTGCCCACTTCTGAGATCCCCCAGCATGTGGTCCACCCCAACTCTACCATTTTTGACTCCTGTGTCTGCACATACTCTATGCAGTCCAGAATATATTCAGAAGAGCTTTTTTTTTCCTTTCAATTTCATGACATTTATGGAGAGATCTGAGGGGTTCTGTCCTTGCTTTTCTGGCTCTGTTTTTCCTCGTCTTTCCCTGTCAAGGACAAAACAGGAAACTTCCCTTGTTTGTTGTCTGGGCGATTTTTATTCTAACTCTCAAACCTTGGGATCAGCCAACTCCCCAGCCTGGGGCAGCGCCACCAGTCCAAGGGGGCTCTCTACGGTTCTTTCCAAACTTCCCAACTCTACTGTGTTTTCCTGAACAAGAATCCTGGTGAATAAAATGCTTTCTGGTTCCTCCCAACACAAATAAAATCCAATCAAAGCTGCTGGTTTGATTAATTTCAAAATTTTCAGGAATGGGAGGAACTAAGAAATGAAAGGCTCTTATTTCTATGTAGAATATTATATCTTTTAGGACAAAATCCATGGGTCTTCTCTGCGGCTCTTTTTTTCATTTGCGGTGTGGGAGCTCCCTCTCCGTGGCCTCAGGGTGGGCACTGAGCCCAGGCTTGGGGGGCAGAGGTGTTCTTCTCCTTGGAGCCTCATTCCTTGCCTTTTGTTTTCTAGGCCTTCTTTACACATCACTTCTCAGTTGTTCAGAGCTGCTTGGCCTTAGGAGATGAGGAGAAAGGAGAAAGGAACCAAGGAGTCCAGGCTTCAGGCTTAAGGGAGGGGTGACAACGAATGTCCCACAGGCTCCTCTGTCGGGAGGCCTGTGCAGGTGTCAGTGACGACTGTAACTGTTTTCTCCACTACTCCTCAAAGAGGGTCCCCCTCAGGACCACCAGCAAATCCTCTTTGTGATCCCTTGCTTTGGGCTTAGACCACAAGCAAAAAGAGGTCTGCCAGCAGACCTGGGGTGCAGCCCAGAGCTCAGAGGCTGGGGTTTTCACTGGCCCATCTGGAGCCCAACTCTATAATAACAGTATTATTATTAACAATATTAATAATGACAAACAACTAACATTTGCCTGGCTTGTCCTCTCTACAGAGTTCTTTTGGTAACTTGTAGTGGCGGAGATGACAGCTGGCCAGGAACTGGGAGTTTGTTGGCCACCTCTATTTTTTTCTGTTAGTGACGTGACAGACATTTCACTGGCTGAGGCAGCACTGGCACAGCGAAACCCGCCTCTGGTGGACCCTCAGGCAAAGCAGTGACAGGATCAGAGCCAGCCATCGGGGCCCTCCACCTGCCTCTACAGCGAATCTTCTGTGATTCTGATGCCCAGGTGCCCACCAGGCCCACAGTAATATTTCGCTGTCCTCTGGCTGCCAGTTTCCTCCAGCCTGGTACCCCACAAACCCAATAAATTCATTTACTCCATAGTTAATCTCTTTTTAGCCACTGGTTTGAATAAAGCCCTACAGTGGTAATCGCAGACTCTGGTCTCTGGACCTCACTACACACCAAAAATGACGCAGGAGCCTGAAGAGCTTTGTTACTGTGGGTTTTCTCTACTTATGTTTATTGTGTTAGATATTAAAACTGAGAACTTAAAAATATTCATTTATAAATTCAACTCCAAGGAACAATAATAAACCCATTATGTCAAAATAATCTTTTTTTTTCCTGAAAAATAACTGTTTCCCAAACCAGCAGACATTAAGCAAGAAGACTGGCTTGGTTTTATATTGTGGCAAATCTCTTTCATTCCTGACTTAAGAGGAGATCTGGAATCTCAGATCTGCTTCTGTTACATTAAGCTGTTTTGTCTGTAGTGTAGGAAGAAGCGCTGGCCTCACCTAAATATGTGGTTGGAAGAGGGGGAAATATTTTAAATAGCTTTTCGAATAACTGAGAATCTTCTTCCTTGATACTTCATCAAAACTCAGCAAGTGACAGCTTCTTAACATGTACTGCAGTGTTGCCTCTGAAGCCAGAATCAAATAACATTTTTATTTTGAAAATCCACCTATCTATTTTGCACCTTTAATGGCTTTTTTTCACCCGTGCATGATTCTCTCATAGTGTACATCGTCATTGGGAAAATATTAGTTTCTTGAGTTATGAAGCTTTTTCAAATGTTGACACATTTCATTACACAGTATTAAAAATCACATTCACTAATACTGCTACCTGTTGTATCAAAAAGTCTCTAGCTAATGGAAAGCTGTCAGATCCAGGTTCCAAAATTCTAATTTTTGCTTAAAAGTACATTCTTTATCATTGGCAACAGACACTGTTGGTTATTTTCCTTGAAGTAATACATTTAATCATTTTTGATAAAATGTCCACCAAACATCAAAGTCTGCATGACTTCAGTTTGTCTCTTGGTTGTTCTTTCTAGCAAAAACCGTGTTGCATGAGAAAAAGAAGTGTCTAGTGCAATTTTGAACGTCTCAGAACATTTCCACAAGTCAAATGCTGCACTGTGGTATGCCACAGAAGGGCTTTCTGTGTACTTCCTACTTCATTATTCAGATTATTGAAAAGGCACGTGCTCAAGAACAAAGTGTTAATATAACTAATAACTTTCATCAAGGACATTATGAAATAAAATTGGCATTTTTCTTCATTGCACTCTTTGCCACCCCCCTCCCCCTTTTTAAAACTGGGTGTGTGGACCTGAGGACTACAAATACTAGTGGCACAGTCTGGCGCCACTGCACTGATTTATACCAAACTGCCAGCACTTTTAACCACTATCGCTTTTGCACCATGAGTGCAAGTGTCAACACAGTTGAAAAAGCAAATAATGTCGTAGTATTATCATGGAAGTAGTTTTGACCTCATGGTAAATGGTCTTGGGAACTCACAGGAGTCTGTGAAGAACTGCTATGTGACAGGACCTCAGAGAAAAGTAAGGGTTTAGTTAGCTCGGGGGAAGACGAGAGATCTAGTGAGAATCTTAAGGGTGCTACATGATGGAGGTCAAAGAATGGTCTGCCTCCACCTGAGTGATGCTTAGGGAATACGTGTCATCAACACGAATCTCGGATCCGGTACAGGGAAGGATGCAGAGGAGCTATTAGAACCCACACTGTACTCTCAGGAAAATTAACCAGGGTCTCTAGAGAAGAAAGTGAGAGAGGCTAGGAGACGGCGCTGGTAGGAGAAGAAGAACCATGGATAAAGAGTGGGGCTGCATGAGGACATGAACACAGGGCAGGATGCTGTGCAAATGCAGGGTATCCCGAGAAACCAACCCCCTTGGCAGGGTAGACAGGCAGCCAGAAAGGGAGGGCGAGATAGATGGCAAGGACACACGGGTCTGCAGTGCTTCGGATCCACAGAGTAATTTGATTTTTTTTCACCCTCATCAATTTTTATCAGCTTCATTCTCTATCTAGTAAGAACTACTAGGTACACATAAAGGCATGCTAGGTAGTGCGCCTGAAAACTGCGTAAGTGGCTGCTTAGCAGTGTAGACCCAGGCCTAACGCAATTTGACTGAAACCAAATAATTCTATGGTTTCAAACCTTGGGATTTAAAATTTTCTACCTTTAAAAGTATCTGCTTTACTTGAGTCAATTGGACAGTGAGGAGGTACAGATGAATTGCAACTAATGCAAACATGTATTGCTTTCCTTGGAGGAGGTCACTGCAGTTCTCCTTAAATCTTCTTGCTTCATCTCTGTTACAATTATTCCTTTATTTATTATTTGGGCCCTACATTAAAAAAGGATTCTAACATGGCTTATAAAGATATATAAGAATAAAATAAAATAAAATAAAATAAAATAAAATAAAATAAAACAAAACAAAACAAATAAAATAAAATAAAATAAAACAAAACAAATAGAATAGAATAGAATAGAATAGAATAGAATAAAATAGAATAGAATAGAATAGAATAGAATAGAATAAAATAAAATAAAATAAAATAAAATAAAATAAAATAAAATAAAATAGAAATCGGGTAGAGAAAACCAAGGGCAGAAACATAGAGCCAAGAAGGAAGAATCTTCAGAAAAGGTGAAAAGCTTCTCACAGAATCTTGACCATTTGCCACGGGTGGGCCAACATTTTGCCTCTAATTTTTCTCAAAGCTGACACGATTGGATCATCCTCATCAGTTACAAAATTCTCAGGGCCGACAGGTGAAAGTCGAGCCTGGCCTGAAAAACCAGGCGGAAGGATC